CCCCCCTGTTCTAAGGGGTGGGGGAAAAAAAGTGTATTACTTGGAAATTGTTGAGATCCCCACGGTATAACCATATATACAATTGTGGAGTATCAAGAGAAGAATGCCCATTTGCTTCCAGGTTGGCCTTGGGGTCTGCCCCACCCTTGCAGACTTAACCCCTGGGTCATAACTTTGAAATATTAAGATCCCCACCCCAAGACTATAAATACAAACGCTGGACAAAAAGAGACGAATGCAGTCATGATATTAGAATTGATCCTGGGGTCTGGCCACAACCCTAGGGATCTAGTTTCTGAGTCACAGCTTGGAAACAGTTGAGATTCCCATCCCATAACCATACATTAAATTTCTGGACATGAAAAATCTAAAAGACAGAATTGGCATTGGGGTCTGGCATATTCCCTTGGATCTCATTTGGAGAATATTTTGCCATGATTGCCTAGATATCCAGGTGAGCAATACAGGCCCTCTGGGCCACATGTTTTCATAGGGGGGGGGGTTACTTTTTATGCAGGGGGGTACATTTTATGCAGGTATAAAAAGTATACAGATATTTTTTGGTAGGGGGGTACTTTTTATGCATGACACTGGTATTATCCCAAAACAAAAAAAATTATCCAAATTTAAAAACAAAACGAAAAAAGGGGAAAAAAAGCTATAACAGCATTAACTGGATCAGTAAGTCTTAATCTATCTGTGAACATTTGTTTGCCCATTCATCCTTACCAAACAGCAGATCGATACAGATTGATTATTTTCTCTTTATGTTTCAGCTAAGATAGGAGCTGATTCCCAGGGCCGGCCAGTTATAGAGTACGAAGATACAAACAAGTATGCTTGGAAATTCTGATTTTTTTCTCTCAAAATGAATGGTTGCGATTATATTGAACTTTGACCTTTAGTGATAAGTCAAAACAAGGGCATGTGGAGTTAGCCGACTTTTTCTATTAAAAACAAAAAGAAAAATACTTGGGAGACATGAAATCATTTTAAGGGATCTTATTAATACATTTAATAATAATTTAATTGTTATAAATGTTGCAAACTTTCATTAGATGTCAAAACATAAATTATTTATAAACATTGAAATGTGTTACTATGGAAGAGAAATTTAAACAATTTTATTTGCAACTAAAACTTAGCATATTTAAAGATATAATTATAATTAGTATGTGTTATATATGGCATGTAAAATTCATAAATGTACACAATACATGTAAATGATTTTAGGGAGTTGAATCTGTGCTCCTACTAAGTTCAAGAGCACAGGTGTTGAACACATACCGTATATCAGATTATTAGACCTTGCTTCAAAACAAAGAAAGAACATTTTTAATAATTCTTTAAGAAAATTGACTTTTCTCTACAAATATCAAATTCAACTTTATCTAAATGGATTGAAACAGGCCTGAATTGATGTTTAAAAAAATTGACTTTTCACGACAGAGGTCAAATTTACCTTTATCCGAATGGATCGATACTGGTTTGTTGGTCTTAACGATTTCACTACTGTTGACAATAATGGACTCATCCATGTCAATACATGGTAGAATCTACTAAAGTAACATAGGGGTGAAAGAGTTAAAGTTGCATTTTCATTTTGTTTTTCCTTTCAGACCTTTGTACTGGGATGCTTCCAACGCAAATGTCATAACAACCCCAAAGGCTGCAGATCATCAGCAGAAAATAGATTCCTGTTTAGAACTGATTGAATACCTGAAGAAAAACAAGAATCCTTCAGGAGTTACCATGGATAGTTCAAAGGTAAAACCATGAATAGTTCAAAGGTAAAACCTGGATAGTTCAAAGGTAAAACCTGGATAGTTCAAAGGTAAAACCTGGATGATTAAAAGGTAAAACCTGGATTGTTGAAAGATAAAACCTGGATTGTTTAAAGGTAAAACCTGGATAGTTCAAAGATAAAACCTGGATTGTTCAAAGGTAAAACATGGATAGTTTAAAAGATAAAACCTGGATAGTTGAAAGGTAAAACATGGATAGTTTAAAAGATAAAACCTGGATTGTTCAAAGGTAAAACCTGGATAGTTCTAAAATAAAACCTGGATTGTTCAAAGGTAAAACCTGGATAGTTTAAAAGATAAAACCTGGATGGTTGAAAGGTAAAAACATGGATAGTTTAAAAGATAAAACCTGGATTGTTCAAAGGTAAAACCTGGATAGTTTAAAAGATAAAACCTGGATAGTTCAAAGATAAAACCTGAATAATTCAAAGGTAAAACCTGGATAGTTCAAAGGTAAAACCTGAATAATTCAAAGGTAAAACCTTGATAGTTCTAAGATAAAACCTGAATAGTTCAAAGGTAAAACCTGATTTTGTGTGTTAAAAATTTTGTTGGGATTAAATTTCGTGGTTTTTATAAAACCATGAATAAACGAAACTAAATCCCCAACGAAATATTATGCATTTACAGTAAACTCTTTGGTTCAGGATCCTGTTTACATGGTTACGAAAAGGTTTATTTATATTATTTTATAATTCTCCAGATCAGCCCTAGTAAATCCAATTGGTATGAAGAAGGGTCAGAGTTTGAGAAAACTCAGGAAATATTGGGTACAGGAAACACGGCAGGTGACATATTTGTGCTCAAGGACAAAAAGACCAACACAGAACATGCTCAGAAGACGGTAAGTCAGAACTTGTCTGTGGAACATTGTTACAATTATTTGTATTGATTGGTAATTTTTCATAAATAAAAGTGAAATTTTAACTTTAGTGAGAGAAAAAAAAACTCAGTTTTTAACCAATAAGAATACAGAATACAAAAGCCATTGATATAATAACCAATGAAAAAGCTTGAAATGTTCATGTCTGCTATTGTCTGACTTCATAAACTGAAGTCCAGGCCACAATCACAATGTTCTAAAGCACTCCTGCTGTTTCTCACAGGGTAATCTTCTTCAATTTAAAGATAGAAAAAAATAAAACAAACGGCAAAACACTTCAACCTTTTGTATTTGTCACCCAGGTAAAATACTAGCCTCTTCCTACCGACTCGGCTAAGGAGAATTTCTCTTTAGCTCATTTGGTAGAGCGTAAGACTAGTTAAACAGAAGTCCTGGGTTCGACTCCTAGCAGAGTCATTGGAAAAATAATGACTTCTGTTACATATTAATGAATACTTTTAATGTTTTGTTTTGTCGTGAGTTTGATTGTTTAGAATTATTTTTTGTGGTTAGATTTCTTAATAGGTTTTTGGTTCATAATTTCTTTCTCTTATATTTATTTTTTTGCTTAATTTAGATAATGATATCAGTTTTCCGTAAAGAAGAAATCCAATCGTGGGTGGATCTGAATGAAACCGGAGTCGCCCCGAAACTCTACCTCTTCAAGGTCAAAGGGAACAGGGTCCATATTCATATGGAACAGTTAAAAAATGGTTAGAAAATGTGAAAAAATAACAACTTAACTTAGATAATGGGAGATGTTTGAATAAGGCTTCCTCGATATATTATATATTAAGGATCCATGTTCTACTGCACTCCCGGTTTTTTACGTATATTCTATACCTCCCTTTAATTTTTGTGTCGCCTGCAATGCGAGGCGACATATAGGTATTACTTTGTCGGCAGTGTCGGCGTTGTCCGGTGCGTCGTCCGAAACAAGGTTTCCGTGCGATAACTTGAGTTCCCTTGGGTTGATTGAACTCAAACATGGTACACATATTACATACCAATATAGCTCTGACAAGTCTACATTTCAGAAGTTTACGTGCATTTTTGGTGGAGTTATGCCCCTTTTTATTGCCATATAAGGGCATTGTATATTAAATGCAAGACCTTTTTTTTTTTTTTGATCAATTCCTTTCAAATTTTGTACGGTAATGCTAGAAGCAATAATGTTCATCATATATAACAGGTTTTTCTGACGAGTTTCAACTTTCTGCGTTTCGGCATATCTGTTTACGCGATAACTCAAGCCATAACACTTTTCATACTAAAAGCACTGAGCAGGCGACAAATCCACCCCAGTGGAATTCTTGTTTCTGTATATTCATTAACCTCCCTTTAATTTTTGTTAACAATCTAGGATTTGAATCATGGTCGGGAATCACTCTGGACACTAATGTAGATTCCTTTTCTGTTTGTTTCATCGTATTATTTTTCTTAAAAAGACCGCAAAGTATGCTCAGTTTTATGTCTGCAAGGGCAGGCTTTCTTTTTCGCAATAAATTTTCCAGAAAACTCCATCTTAACTAACAGGCAGATTTTATTGAAACTTCACTTGAAAATCAGTATATTATGTAGTTGTGCACCAACATTTTAAATTCAGATTTCAACACTTTTTAAGGGAGTTATGGCCCTTTATGCAAAATAACTTGTCCGGAACCCAAAGGTCAAGGTCACTAAATTATGTTTAAACTACGAGCATCTGCGGGGGTATTAGTTATCCTCTGGATGACAGTTCTAATTAGAATTTGCACAACTCATCGCTCGAGCATCCTATTACAGATTTAAACACTATTAATTGTATTCTCTTGTCCTTGCAGTGGTCACTTTGAGAGAAGTCATTGATTCCCACATGGAAACAATCAGACAGACCAATCCTGACCTTGTTCGTCCGTTTTCCCTCTGCGTTTTCCATGGCTTGCTATCTGCTGTCCGAACTATGCATGAAAATAACTGGACACATAGGGACTTGCATGGTCAGTTTCAGTTTGTGTGGACACTATGGTCAAATTGTGTGGATACTTTAGGAAATAATGTTAAAATGGATCCAGGTTCCTTTTTTCAAGTTTTTAACAAAAATTGATTGATTGACATTACCGGTAATTTGTGACTTTGTTATTAGCCCACCATAATCCTATCCTGGGCGAATCAAAACGCCTGTCGTCCATGGTCTGTCCCGCAGTCCATCGTCCATCCTGTAACAATCTTCTTATTGCCATTTCTCAGAAAGTACTGGAGGTATCTTTCAAAATTTTGATATGTACTAGAAAATAGGTGAGATAATAAACTCACTTTGAAGGTTGTCTTTAATACATGACAGTATGACATTAAGATCAGAAGTTATTTCAAGGTGCATATACTGTTTACATGACCTGTGATCTAACAGGTAAGAGAAAAGAAGAGAAAAGATCAAACTGACAAAGAACTAATGAAAATGGTACTATGGTGAAAAGATCCCTCTGGGATATCTTGTTTCAAATACATGTTGTATACATAGAATACTTACCTTTCCAAGATGACCTGGAACTTTGTTCTTTGACAGCTGGAAACATCTTGCTCCAGAGAGAATCAGACTGCTCTATCAAAGTTCGCATTGTTGACTTTGGATTAGCATCGCGGTTAGATGAGACGGGAGGATTGGAGGGGTTCCGAATGGACATCAAAGAATCTGTCCGTAAACTCAGTGCTCTGTATGTAGATCAGGAATTCAGCAATCCGAGAGATGTGGACAAAAACGGGGCTTGGAAGTCTGATCTTGGTGATGTAATAACTTACTTTTATTATGATTCAACATACTTTTATATTCATTTCAAAAATATTGACATTGACTAGGAATCTTTAAAATGCAAATTTGTTGATGTTGAAACAATACTGAATGTTGAAATGGGCCATTCCAACAAGTCTAAGCTTAGGCCAAATGCAAAAATATGTGTGTTTCCTGTTTCGGCTCCAAACAAAATAGGGTAGGTAGGTAGGAAAAACTTGTGAAGAAAATCTCCTGATTACCTCTGTGAATGTTAAAAATATGTTATTGTTTAGTGATTTTTTTTGCTTAGTTTTACTGTCGAATACAGGCTGTTTCCCCTAGCTAAAAAGTGCCTTATTTTCCCAAAATTACCAAAAACTGAAGAATATATTCCCAATTTCAATACAAATAATGCTGTATTTTACTTTTCATGAAGGAACAGATTGTTGTTAAGGTCATAGGAGTGTATTGATAAACGGAAGTAGGAAGTACATCCCTAGTTGAAAATCCAATGTAGGGAGTAGTATCACAATTTCTGCTTATTCTAATGTTTAATATTAAACTGATGAATATTGTATGTTTATTATTGACAGAACAGTGTTTTCTCTCAATATTAAAGTATTTCAAAGCAATGCAGGCATTAATTCAGTTTTTTTTTATCAATGAGCCACATGTATCCATTTTTCTGTACTTCAGGAAACCGGCTACCTATTTCACTACTGTGATGTTTTTCAAGAAAGATAACTCTTACCTGCAATTACAATGTGCTTATGGTTTTATTATAAAATGTCAATTTTTAATTGTTTATAGATAATTTATTTGACATAATTTCAGCATTTATTAAACAGAGAATAATACATGCCTTGGGCTGATATTGGTCGAGGGTTGATACGTGTGATATGGAAAAAGACATGTTTTATTCTGTTTATTACATACTTACTAATAAAAACTTATATTTATGATCTATTTTCTTTTAAAATATTGAAAAAAGAAAAAATCCAAAAGGGTTGTGATACAGGTTTTGTGGGCTGATACGGGTTTTGGGGTGTGATACGGCGGGGGCTGATACGGGTTTTGGGATGTGATACGGCAAGGGCTGATATGGGTTAGAGCAATTGTGTCGTATCGCATATACAAAAAACCTGTATTTATTAGTAATTATGTAATAAATTGATATACATTAATGCAATACTAATCTATGGCAGTATCATTTTTATTGACATTTTTTTTTCAAAAGTCAGTCCTTTTTACATAAATTTCCATTTAAATTCCTTAAAATTATGACAACCTATCTTTTTTTGTGGCAGAAAATTTTCTTTACTTCAAAGCAATATAACTACAAAATTTGAAGAAATTCTACTTAGAAATGGCGACACAATCCTATGACCTTAATTTGAAAACACTGTTGAAAGGCACCAAATATTTAGTTTTTATTCATGTAAAACAAATACACAATTATTATTTGACCCATCTAAATGTTTATGGAATAACCAAGATTATTAACGGTAGTGCTACCACCAGCGTTACATTTCTAAATTATCCCTAATGCTGGACACAAGGTTTTAGTAATCCAAACTCCACTGATGATCACCAGTGTTACGTTCTCTTTTGTATTACTGATACTTTCTGTTCTCAATTTCCACTGCCTCCATTTCAAATTAATTGAACAATAAAATAAGTACATTTATATTTGCACTATATTTACAACAAAAGTTTTTTAATCTCATAAACTATACAGGTTTTCACTATAGTGAACTCAATCTCTCCACTTCAAACCTAATTATCTCCAACTATAAACTGTAAAACTGCACAGATCTACAAACTACAGCTAAAATTACTATTGTTTCTAACTTCCTAATTCTCACTTTAACTCTTAACTTTCTAACTCTCCGTTATATCTCATGACCTCTCAACTGGGTCCCCCTAACTCAACCTCCTTCCTCAAGTCTCTTTAACTCAATTCCCATCCCAACTCATTTCTCCTCCATCGACTCCCAAGCTGAACTACCTTACTATCTGTCCCGTAGCAAAATCCTGTTACAACAAAAATGTTGATTGATTAAAATTATTGATGCTGCTGAAATCCTGTTAAAAACTGGCCATAAATCCTGCTCAATTTGACTCTGGTGGCCAGCATCAGCTGGAGGCACAAACACTGACATCACAGACTGCTCTTCCAAAAATATTCCACGATAAACGAATATGGACCGATCGATAGGCAGAGCTAAAAAATGCACAGTTTTTGAGAAAAAACAACAATACATCAAGAGCATTATGTCCTTCTTTCACGCGTCCACTAAATCGTATATATTGTATCTTAAAATCTACGTGTGGCGTGGCCTTGTTTTATGAAGAAATAATGCAAACTAGCAATAGTCAGCATTTTTGTTTCAGTCAGGCAAGTCTGGACCCCTTAATCTACATGTGCCAAATTTTCCCGAGTCAGCCTGTCATTTTCTTTCAGGTTCAACTGTTTCAACCAGATACGCGAAAAGGGCCCTGGTCTATGGTACAGGTAATAGCATTTTGCATAGACTGGTCCATTTATCATCACTTTCACACCGTGATTAAGTTAATGTTGTATGTTTCCCACAGGCGGCCGACCTCTTTCAACTTAGTAGATCAGAACGGGTAGAACTGTTCAGCTTGGTCGACAGCACATTACAAATTGTTGCTCCGTCCGAGACTCAGAACATTCAAGAAGCTGTTCAGAAGAAATTAGAAAATATAGGTATGTTCAGTCTAACAAAGCTAACAGATACATGCTATAAGTTTTTCGAAAGATCGTAAACAATATCTTAAAAAAAGGAAACGATAGAGTTTTTCATGATTTCATGTTTGTTGATACAAGTCTGAAAAAGATGTGACCGAATCATGATAATGCGTCAAACATATGATTAACCTGTACAACAGAGCTCTTACCGTTCAAAGGGAAGTAACTCAGGTTGGTTCACACCATCTCTGCACTGTATGAGTCAAATGATGTGATGAATTCCCAAGACAATCTTAAACGACTCTGCTGAAAAAATTGGTTTGAATTCCCAAATTAATTTTACAAATTAACAATAGCTATTGTTTAGAGTAGAGATTTCTAGTGCTCAGTATGTATTGTTTCTGAATATTTTAGGACAGGTGCCCTGTAGTAATCAGGGGTGTATAGCTAGCCCTTGTTCGGAGTGGATTTATTTAGGAGCAGGTCCAGCGCATGGGTTCTGTAGGGGGACAAGGGGGGACAACAAACACAATGTTTCAGTCCTTCCTCACTTTCGTTTCACTTTTCTTTATCTCAGAATCCAATAGACTACCAGTAATTTGTTTTTTGACATGGTGATATACACTGTGACAAGTAGATGTGCAATAAGGAGTTAAAAAAAGTTTCTAAGGTCAAGGTCAAAGTTATTAATAAAAGATCATGGGGTGATGGCTATTAGAAATATATATCACATGAAATTTGATTGACTTCAGATCTAGACAAGATGATGAAGGAAGTGATCCCCATACTATTTCCTCCGTTTGAGATGTACCAGCCTGTCCATCGCCGGGGGCAAAGTACCATGGATTCAAGTACACAAAAAGTAAGTGGATTTAAGGATCCCGTACCACTGCCAGTAACTGTAACTAATTAAGTGTTGGGATTTTTTTTCTTGCATGACTATAGCTTTGATAAATGATTTCTGAAAAGAAAAAAAGAAAAGTGTTTTCAGTGGGAAAAATTCAGGGGGGTCTAGACTGGGGTTCAAATGCTGGTCTTCAGATTGTTATACTATCACTCTAACTAATTGATCTACCAAGGCAAGGTAAGTTTTCCAGACCAAATGTGCTACTGTTATATCCACATAGAAGTTAAAGGGGGGTACTGTTTATACAAACAACCCAGAGTGAAGTGGGCCAGGGATCCTTAAGGACTCTTTCAGATCGTTTGACTGCCAAGTTTAAATATCATGACAACATAACCATAGGTCTATATTAACTAATATAACTGATGTTTCTGTTGAACTGAAATTGCTTTCAGTCAGGGACCAGTCGGTCTTACTCAGTCACAGCTTGATAAAGAGACCAGTCGGTCTTACTCAGTCATAGCGTGACAAAGGGACCAGTCGGTCTTACTCAGTCACAGCTTGACAAAGAGACCAGGCAGTCTTACTCAGTCACAGTTTGACAAAGTGACCAGTCGGTCTTAAGTCACAGCTTGACAAAGGGACCAGTCGGACTTACTCAGTCATAGTTTGACAAAGGGACTAGTCGGTCTCACTCAGTCATAACTTGACAAAGAGACCAGTCAGTCTTACTCAGTCACAGTTTGACAAAGTGACCAGTCGGTCTTAAGTCACAGCTTGACAAAGGGACCAGTCGGTCTTACTCAGTCATAGTTNGGGTTCTGTATATACAAACAACCCAGAGTGTAGTGGGCCAGGGATCCTTAAGGACTCTTTCAGATCGTTTGACTGTCAAGTTTAAATATCATGACGACATAACCATAGGTCTATATTAACTAATATATGTTTCTGTTGAACTGAAATTGCTTTCAGTCAGGGACCAGCTTGACTAAGGGACCAGTCGGTCTTACTCAGTCATGGCTTGACTAAGGGACCAGTCAGTCTTACTCAGTCATAGTTTGACTAAGGGACCAGTCAGTCTTACTCAGTCATGGCTTGACAAAGGGACCAGTCACTCAGTCATAGTTTGACTAAGTGACCAGGCGGTCTTACTCAGTCATAGTTAGACAAAGGGACCAGTCGGTCTTACGCAGTCATGGCTTGACTAAGGGAACAGTCGGTCTTACTCAGTCATAGCTTCACTAAGGGACCAGTCGGTCTTACTCAGTCATAGCTTGACTAAGGGACCAGTCGGTCTCACTCAGTCATAGCTTGACAAAGAGCCCAGTCGGTTCACTCAGTCATAGCTTGACATAGGGACCAGTCACTCAGTCATAGTTTGACTAAGGGACCAGTCAGTCTCACTCAGTCATAGCTTGGCTAAGGGACCAGTTGGGCTTACTCAGTCACAGCTTGACATAGAGACCAGTCGGTCTTACTCATTCATAGCTTGACTAAGGGCACAGTCGGTCTTACTCAGTCATAGCTTGACAAAGAGACCAGTCGGTTCACTCAGTCATAGCTTGACTAAGGGACCAGTTGGTCTTACTCAGTCACAGCTTGACAAAGAGACCAGTCGGTCTTACTCAGTCATAGCTTGACAAAGAGACCAGTCGGTCTTACTCAGTCATAGCTTGACAAAGAGACCAGTCGGTCTTACTCAGTCATAGCTTGACAAAG